CCACCAAGAGGTCTGAGGACCAGCCCACTTGGCACCTCCATCCCCAGCAAATCCTCACCACAGCCTCCAAAAACAACTGCAGCCTATGCCACTAAGGAACTTGCAGATACCTCCGATACTGATTACAGTCAAAGTAATCACATGGAGACTACACTATGGTGCCCATCCAGAACCAAAGCGAAAGCCATGTACCTAACTTACATTATAGATACATCAGCAGGAAAAAGTATTTCTTTATGGAAGCTACTTTATAAAATTGGGAAAAGTGACAGTTATACCAGCTGTAGAAATATCAATGTGAGAACATGTGAACACAAAAAATCAAGAAAATATGATACCTCCAAAGGAACACAATAATTCTCCAGTAACAGACCCCAAAGGTAAAAAAAATTATATGAAACGCCTGAAAAGGAATTTAAAATAATTATCTTAAGGAAATCCAGCAAGATACAAAAGAATACAGATAAATACAAAGAAATAAGAAAAGCAATTCATGAGCTGAATGAGAAATTCAACAAAGAGATAGATATCATAAAAACACACACACACACACACACACACACAACAAATCCTGGAGTTGAGGAATTCAGTGAATGAAATAAAAAATACAATTGAGTACTTTAACAGTAGACTAGACCAATCAGAAGAAAGAATTTCGGAACTTGAACCCAGGTCTTTTGAAATAATCCAATCAGACAAAGGTGGCACAGGGGTGTTGTGGAGGGAGGAAAAGAGGGAGGGAGAAAGAAGAAAGAATGAGAAGGAATGAGGAAAGCCTAGGAGACATGGGAAACAAGCAAACAAATAATCAAATTTTAGAAGTTCCAGAAAGAGCAAAGAAGGAAAAAGGCATAGAAAAATCCTGCATGTTCTCACTTATAAATGGGAGCTAAATAATTTGTACACGTGGACATAGAGTGTAGAATAATAGACATTGAAGACTCAGAAGGGTGGGAGGGTTAGAGGGGGAGTGAGAAAGGAGAAATTACTTACCAGGTACAGAGTACTTATTAAAAGTCCAGACTTCATCACTATGCAATATATTCATGTAACAAAATTGCACTTGTACCCTTTAAATTTATACCAAAAAAAGAAAACTTAATGAAATAATAAATGAAAACTTCCCAAGTGTTGGAAGAGATCTAAACATACAGATATGGAAGGTTCAATAATCCCCAAATAGATTTAATTTTAAAATGTCCTCTCCAAAGCACATTATGGTCAGAATCCAAAAGGTCTGGATCTCAGTGTGCATTACATGTGCCTCTTAAACCCTACTAAATATATCTTCAAAATTGCTACTCCTTCTCAAATATTTTACCTGACCCTGTAGTCAAATGTTTAAGCATACAGATAGTAAGCGAACAACTCTGGATTAGAAGTCTGCCTCCATGATTATTACATATGTGATATGAGAAAATTTCCTGATTGTTTTTTTCTGAGTTTTCGTTTCTTCATCTGCAAAATCAGGATAATAGAAAAAAAAAAAAAAAAAAAAAAACCTACATTGCAGGATTGTTGTGAAGGTTAAATGAGGTAATGTGTATAAAGTGCCCAGCATTTAAGTGTTTGATAAATGTTAACTCCCATTTTTAAAAAATAATGGCCGGGCGCGGTGGCTCAAGCCTGTAATCCCAGCACTTTGGGAGGCCGAGGCGGGCGGATCACGAGGTCAGGAGATCGAGACCATCCTGGCTGACACGGTGAAACCCCGTCTCTACTAAAAAATACAAAAAAACTAGCCGGGCGAGGTGGCGGGCGCCTGTAGTCCCAGCTACTCGGGAGGCTGAGGCAGGAGAATGGCGTGAACCCGGGAGGCGGAGCTTGCAGTGAGCTAAGATCCGGCCACTGCACTCCAGCCTGGGTGACAGAGCAAGACTCCGTCTCAAAAGAAAATAAAAAAATAAATAAAAAAATAAGAATAATAATAATAATAAAACATGCCAGCTATTTAAATGGTGGAAACTAATTTTCATCTTTGCAGTATCTGCAAGGGAATCCAGGAAACATACAATCATACCTTTTCAAACTCTATAATACAGTAAGGCTATATTATAGTGGATACCAAGTACTAGTTCTTCATGTTCAACATGGCCATTAAATATGATTTTTCTCCTTGGCACTCTATCATCATTTGTATGACCAAATAAACACATTTTAAAATGTATTCTGCATATTGCTGAACTATGAGATGATGTTTCAAATATAATTTGTTAGCATTAAGAAAAATAAGACATATTTTAATGCACTGCCAAGTTTTTAAGTTCTATCAAAACAGAGCCAAATGCACAGGCTCTAAATAAACAGTACTCTTAACTTGGACATGAGTAGTTTTATACTCTGGAAAAAGATGACAATAGTAATTAACTTTTGTTCTGAGTTTACTGTATGCCAGCACACGTTCTAGCATTTGACATGTATTATCACAAAAAAATCACAAAAACTCCATTAGGTAGGTAATAATATTCCACATTTACAGAAGAGGCAACTAATGCATGAAGACTTCAGTAATCTATACAACTAGTATGTGGCAGCACTGGGATTTAATTCCAGGCAGTCTGGCCTGGCCCCAGAACCAATATTCTAATGTACCCTTCTTAACTGCACAGTAAGATGCTTCTGTTCTTCTAGGGTTTTTTATGGTTTTAGGTTTTACATTTAAGTCTTTAATCCATCTGGAGTTAATTTTTGTATAAGGTGTAAGGAAGGGGTCCCGTTTCAGTTTTCTGCGTATGGCTAGCCAGTTTTCCCAGCACCATTGATTAAACAGGGAATTCTTTCCCCATGGCTTGTTTTTGTCACGTTTGTCAAAGATCAGGTGGTTGTAGATGTGCGATATTATTTCTGAGGCCTCTGTTGTGTTCCACTGGTCTGTATATCTGTTGTGATACCAGTACCATGCTGTTTTGGTTACTATAGCCTTGTGGTATAGTTTGAAGTCAGGTAGCTTGATGCCTCCAGCTTTGTTCCTTTTGCTTAGGATTGTCTTGGCTATATGGGCTCTTTTTTGGTACCATATGAAATTTGAAGTAGCTTTTTCTGTAATTCTGTGAAGAAAGTAGCTAGATGGGAATAGCATTGAATCTATAAATTGCTTTGGGCAGTATGGCCGTTTTCACGATATTGATTCTTCCTATCCATGAACATGGAATATTTTTCTATTTGTTTGTGTCCTCTTTTATTTATTTGAGCCGTGGTTTGTAGCTCCCTTTGAAGAGGTCCTTCATGTCCCTTGTAAGTTATATTCCTAAGTATTTTATTCTCTTTTGTAGCAATTGTGAATGGGAGTTCACTCATGATTTGGCTCTCTATTATTGGTGTATAGGACTGCTTGTGATTTTTGCACATTGATTTTGTATCCTGAGATTTTACTGAAGTTGCTTATGAGCTGAAGGAGATTTTGGGCTGAGACCATAAGGTTTTCTAAATATACAATCATGTCATCTGCAACCAGAGACAATTTGACTTTCTCTCTTGCTATTTGAATACCCTTTCTTTCTCTTTCCTGATTGCCCTAGCCAGAACTTCCATTCAGGACATAGGCATGGGCAAAGATTTCATGACTACACCACCAAAAGCAATTGCAACAAAAGCCATAATTGACAAATGGGATCTAATTAAACTAAAGAGTTTCTGCACAGCAAAAAAAACTATCATCAGAGTGAACAGGCAACATACAGAGTGGGAGAAAATTTTTGCACTCTATCCACCTGACAATGGGCTAATATCTAGAATCTACGAGGAACTTAGACAAATTTACAAGCATAAAACAACCCCATCAAAAAGTGGGCAAAGGATATGAACAGACACTTCTCAAAAGAAGACATTTATGTGGCCAAGAAACATATGAAAAAAAGGTCATCATCACTGGTCATTAGAGAAATGCAAATCAAAACCACAATGAGATACCATCTCACGCCAGTTAGAATGGCAATCATTAAAAAGTCAGGAAACAACAGATGCTGGAGAGAATGTGGAGAAATAGAAACACTTTTACACTGTTGGTGGGAGTGTAAATTAGTTCAACCATTGTGGAAACAGTGTGGCGATTCCTCAAGGATCTGGAACCAGAAATACCATTTGACCCAGCAATCCCATTTTGGGGTATGTACCCAAAGGATTATAAATCATTCTACTATAAAGATACATGCACATGTATGTTTATTGAAGCACTATTTACAATAGCAAAGACTTGGAACCAACCCAAATGGCCATCAATGATAGATTGAATAAAGAAATGTGGCACATATATACCATGGAATACTATGCAGACATAAAAAAGAATGAGTTCATGTACTTTGCAGGGAAATGGATGAAGCTAGAAACCATCATTCTCAGCAAACTAACACAGGAACAGAAAACCAAACACCACACGTTCTCACTCATAAGTGGGAGTTGAACAATGAAAACACATGGACACAGGGAGGGGAACATCACACACCGGGGTCTGTCGGGGGAAGGAGGGAAAGGGGAGGGAGACTATTAGGACAAATACCTAATGCATGCAGGGGTTAAAACCTAGAAGACAGATTGATAGGTACAGCAAACTACCATGGCACATGTATACCTATGTAACAAACCTGCACATTCTGCACATGTATCCCAGAACTTAAAGTAAAACTTTTTTTAAATGCTTCTATTCTATCTTTTTAAACTCCAAGCACTTAAAGTACTTTCATTGTATATTTAAGTTATGCAACAAAACATTTAATACTATAATGACAAAATACATGGTAGAGCTATGGAATCAATTTTCAGCTATGTTACATAGCCAAAATATTTTTAAAGAGAATCTTATGCTTAATAAATATCTTTTGAAATTTTTGGCTAACTACTAAAATTATGACTAAATCTTAAAAGAACAAGGACTTAACTATGTTCATGTGGTTTAGAAAATAAAGGAATTGTTGCTTATCTTCATTTGTTAATCCACACACTTGTATTCTTTCATATTAAGAGTTAATTATTATATTTATTCTGCCTTCCTCCTCTTGGCACAGACCATGTAAATGGACACTGCACAAGTCCAACTTCTCAGAGTTGCAGTTCTGGAAAACGTCTTTCTAGTGCCGATGTTTCAAAAGTAAATCGCTGGGGTCCTGGAAGACCACCATTTCGAAAAGCCCAGTCAGCAGCCTGCATGGAGATTTCTTTACCGGTTACAACAGAAGGTATGTTAAACATATTAAATTTTTTTGGTACAGTTAAAATTTGGTTTACCATGGTAATGGGAACAGAGATACAGGATGGAGATCACATGTGAAAGATATTTAAAAACTACTAGTCAGTGAATACCTGAGAGCCTGATGGGGCTGTGGCCATAACTCCAACTCCATTCCTCACTCCACCTCCTTCCTCACCTGGAAAACCAAAATGTCTCTGCTTATAGGTAACTACTCGCTCCTCTGTACAAAGGGAGAGCTATGCCTTAATCTGTTCCCTACCCTTCCCGTAATAATTAAGAGTTTATTTCAATCCCAATGGTAAGCTTTTTGGTGTCTCTATCTGTAGATATTTAATGTATTGCAACCTTAATTTCCTCAGTTGTCAAATGAATGTGACCAAGAACAAAGGCAAGATATTAAATTCTAAAGTTTTCAATCTTCATCTTCATATATTTTTAAAAGGAAGGTCTATTTGTTTATTTATGGAATGAGTGTGGGGCGATGGGGGAGGGGAGTAAATTACAAGAGCCAGAGACCAGACATTTTTACAGAGGGACAAAAAGGGAATTTTGTAACTTTGCTGCAACTGTCCTATTGATAAGGAACTTTAGAAAGAGAGATAGGAAAAAAAAATTTTAGGAAAATTTGCTATAGTAATTCTATGCTGTGAAGTAAGTCTCTATTTACTACTCCTGAAAACTTTTGACAGTGATCTATATTGGTCCTCAAATTTAAAAAAATTATATTTAAGCTTTTGTTTTTTTAAATATTATGCTATACTAAATCTGATCCCTTAGATATGCAGATAATGATGTTATTTCTCTAACAGGTGTCTATGAATATCAACTTTGTATGGTGATGAACCATGAATGGAAAAGATTTGGAGCCATATAATAGCTAGCATGTTATAAAAGAAGCACTATGTAAGGATTATAAAAGAAGTAGCCCCCGTTTAATTTTTATTTTTTTAAGAGAGAGGATCTCATTCTGTTGCTGAGGTTAGATTACAGTGGCACAATCATAGTGCACTGCAGCCTCTAACTCCTGGACTTAAGCGATGCTCCTGCCTCAGCCTCCCAAGCAGCTGGAGGTGCAGGTGCACACCACCACATCCATCTTATTTTTCAGTTTTTGTAGAGACAGTGTCTCACTAAGTTGCCCAAGGTAGTCTTGAACTCCTGGCCTCAAGCACTGGGGTTACAGCCAGCCATGAGCCACCACACCCAGCCAGAAGTAGCACTCTGAATCACTGTAATGAGAGGTGGGAATTTTGAATTTTAGATACTTCTACCTCTAATTTGTCCTGGATTCTGGGAAAATTACTAAACTCTAAGTCTGTCTCCAAATCTGTAAAATATATAACCTCCAAACTCCCTCTTGTCTCTAAATTTTATGACAAACAATTATTTTTATAAATTTGCTAAGAGATAAAAAGGAGAAATTAGAAATACTATATTTTGTTTCCTTTTCTATAAAAACAATTATGAGTTACATGTGTACCAATCAAGAGGAAAAAGAGAGTGAAGGCCATAGAAAGAAAAATATGAAGAACTTGTACTCTGTAGATTATAAGAGCAGGACAACCTTGATAACATTTCACTGAGCTGTATAAGTTTATGCTTATTGGAGTGTGCACATGTACAAGTGTTGATGAGAGGAGAACCTGAAACCATCCTGTTTTTTTGTGTGTGTGTTTTTTTTTTTCAAGTGAGCTGAAGCACTCTCAGAAAGATTACCACTATCAACAGGATGGCATATAGTCTATACTCTTTGTTTAGCCCTAGGCAAAGTTAGGACTGGATTTGAATTAAAGGTAACAGCCTGAAACCAGTTCAGGGAGATAAAATTTGCATTTTGGCCTTGGTAGAAATGTTAATTTTTACAATTGTAATTACCCCAAATATAGAATATGTTTGCCACAGAAGATTTGTGATCCAGATAAGCCCTTTCATGCCAATCGTCACAATATTGTCTTTGGAATTGACAAAGTGTTAGGGACACTTCCAACAATTTAGAGGTGGGAGGGAAGCACAATTTCAGTGATATCGGAAATTCTTATAACCGTTACTATTTAGACTAAATCTTTTTTCTAGGTAAAAGAATTTCAACTAACTTGTGAGTTAACATAGAGAAAGAAAAATGGTGAGCCAGAACTCAGGAGCCTCCAATTCTAGTCCTAGGTCTGCCTAAGCTTATGAATTATACTTCTAGACTTCAGTTTCTCCATCTTCAAAATAAGGGGTTAACTGGATAAGCTCCCTCCTAGGTCAATTAACAAACAATGTAATTTTACTTCCTCCTTGTAATTTTGGTTTTTATATATTAAATCCCTGATGTTATTGTGGAAATATGCTAACAATTTGTGTGGGGTTTTTTATGTATTTCCATAGAAAACCGAGAAAATTCCTATAATCGTTCCAGAAGCTCTAGTATCTCCAGTATTGACAAAGATTCTAAAGAAGCAATTACAGCACTATACTTCATGGAATCCTTTGCACGGAAAAATGACTCTACCATCTCTCCTTGTCTGTTCGTTGGAACCAGTCTGGGAATGGTGTTAATCATCTCCTTAAACCTACCATTAGCAGATGAACAAAGGTTTACAGAGCCAGTCATGGTATTGCCAAGTGGTAAGAGTTTGTATTCATTCATTCCTTCACTGTTACTTTTTCAAATTTAGATATAAGGTATTATAAACATAAATTTGTATTGGAGCAAAGGTTATAAGTATTCTGCACAATGGGAACTATTAAGAATTTTATATATCATATACCATCCCAACATTTGTCATATTGTAGCTTTCCTTTGGGGTAAAAGAGTACAAGCATTTCTTTGGTAGTAAACTGTGGAAGTGCCAACCTGAACAATGACATGGTAAATAAGTTCCTGAAAAGCACTGAGGAAAACCTAAATGCAAAACTTAAATTTATTTTTAACAGATTGAAGCATTTACCCAAAGTTCCATGCCAGATTAGAGCATGAGTGTTTTTACATCATCCTTGAAGAACTCAGAATAATTAAGCTAGAAGCTGTCTGACCTAAAGTGGATTTCTAAAGACTTTTATAACCTTCTCATCTTGTTTCAAAAGCGTGCCACACAATTTCTTTCCTATTCATGCTAGTGCCTAGAGAATTTGACCAATGTTATAAGTGTTGTTGTCAAGCATATGTTGTATTCTCTTCCTCCTTGAATTACCTTTTTTTTCTTTTTGAAGAAGAGATGAGTGTGATTCCTCCTGTTATTCCTAATTTGTTCTTATCACTAATTTTATTGTTTCCCTATTTCCTATATAAGAAATTTTCAGATAGTTTTTAAGTTAAAAAATTTCATTAATCTGTAGGATAAGGGTTTTATTGTAAAAGGATATATATAGAAGGTTACAGTTGTGTTTCCTTTCACTGATGTGCTAAGTTCATATGAAAAGATTGTAGGTAGAATAGTCAGTTCTCTATTAATGTGGCAAATTCAGATTTGTGTTTTAAAAGTTAATTGTGACGATACTTTATTTTAACATATAGTTCACATGAAAAAATATATTTTACTATAGTCCTAATTGTGAGAAAATATACACAATTCTTTTGACTGGTGAATTAGTTGGAGTCAAATCAATGAGATCATAATGAATTATTAATTATTAATTCAATTCATTTTTTAACTCAATAAAAGATTACATATATTGGACATCTAATATGTACCAGGCATTCCTCACAAGTTTAAAGGTAAAATCAACTTCCACTGTCACACAAGTTTAAAGCTGTAAGTTAAAGACAATTTCCTAACTAGAAATATTCTAACAAATGTAGTTTTCTATATCACAAGCATAGAAATAAGCAATCCCTTGACTAACAAAGCAGGTCTCTCAGTATTATAGGGAAATTCTTTGCCATTCTTAGCACATATATTTAGACCAAAAAATGATGACAGAATACAAAATAAGTACAGATTTAACTTTTGGCATTATTTTGTTAATATTTGAAAACTTTTTCTTTATCTATTTAATAAGATTTAATGAGAAGCTATCTTCTCCAAGTCTCTATGTCACTATTCTTTCAAGACTTTAGTTAATAATAGGTGTCAACATCAATTCATTGGCTGGGCACAGTGGCTCATGCCTATAATTCCTGCACTTTGGAAGGCTGAGGGAGGAAGATTATTTGAGGCCAGGAATCTAAGGCCAGCCTGGGCAACATAGTGAGACCCCATCACTACCAAAATTTTTTTCTAAATATATATTTTTTAAAAAATTGCTGGGTGCAGTGGCTCACACCTATAATCCCAGCACTTTGGGAGGCCAAGGTAGGAGGATTGCTTGAGCCCAGGAGTTCAAGACCAGTCTGGGCAGCATAATGAGACCCCATCTGTACAAATAATTTTTAAAAATTAGCCAGGTATGGTGGTGTGCACCTGAGCCCAGAAGGATGAGCATGCAGTAAGTCATAATCTCACCACTGCACTCCAGCCTGGGTGACAGAGTAAGACTCCATCTCAATACAAAATAATAAATAAATAAATTAATTAATTCAAATGTGCCACACTTATACAAGATGTTAATAATAAAGGAAATGACAGAAGGGGTACGTGGGGACTCTTTATACTTTCTGTTCAATTTTCTTTAGATCTGAAACTGCTGTTAAAAATACATTCTTATTAATTTGTTGAAAAAAACCTGTATATAAAGGAGAAAACCATTAGTCTGGGTTCCCATGTTTGCTCTATAATTAACCATTACAAGAAAGAAAGCCTACTTGGGAGCCATAATTTATGGCAGTAAAAAGAAAGGAGGGAAAAGATAAAGGTGACAGAAAGCTTGTTTAAATTTAAAGTAGAAAATTTTGTGCATCCTCTTTCAGAGCTTATTTATTGACTATCTGTCCTAGTCTTCACCCTCCTTGCCATATCTATTTTCTTTCCTATAGCCATGAGTCTCTGCCCAAGCTTATGGGAACTATTATGGGTACTGTTTATGTTATTATGGTTGCTGCCACAGCTAATGGGAACCATTAAAGAAGGTTTGGATTTAAGGGCATTTAGCACTTTTCCATTGTCAGTGCTGAATTGAGTGACATGCTCTCTGGCCTTGAATGCATCTTTTTTTCCTGTAAAAACATTGTTAAATAAACTTTTGTCAGTCGGCCCAGGAAAATTCATGAGTCAAATAGTTTCCTTAGACTTGAAAACAGTCTACTTTGAAATGTATCCACTCATTCAACAAACATTTACCAAGACCATACCACTGAAGTAAGCACTGGAGATACAGTGGTCCCTGTTTTCAGAGACTTGTAGGGAAAAACAAAATTAAACACAAAATTACAATAAAGAAAATATAATAATGGAAATTACACTAAGAGAAATAAAGAATACTGTGGCAGCATGGCAGGGGGATTTGGGGAAGAGCTCCCTAACAAAAATAACATCTGAAGTGGAAGTTGGACAAGTTTGGGAGTAAGTGTACAGTACTGATGTTTAAGAGTAATTTGGGGGCTGGGTGCAGTGGCTTATAATTGTAATCTCAGCATTTTGGAAGACCAAAGTGGGAGGAATGCTTGAGCCCAGGAGTTCAAGACCAACTGGGCAACACTGGGAGACCCTGTCTCTAGAGAAAAAAAAAAATTTTTTTGAAAGAGTAATTCAGTACAACGTGAGTAAAAATCTACAAGTAAGAGAGGACGTGGCATAGCTGGAGCCTGTAGATAGAATGATACTAAATGAGGATGGAAAAGTAGGCAGGGAATGATTATACAGTGCCTTATAAATCGTGTCAAGAAGGAGAAGACTACCTAGTGTTTTTTGGTTTTGTTTTTGTTTTTCAGTACAAAACTTGTGATGCAAAACACTGGGGTTTTTTTTTTCAAGATCTAGTTATTAAATTTTAAATTTTATAATTGTAAGAATCAAAATATAAAGAAAAAAATGAAAATTCTACCACTAGCAAACTTTGTCCCTTCTCTGTCCCCTTTCCCCTCTTCATTTCCTCCCCTAGGAATTTTACTCTCCACTAGCAACTCGGTGAGAAATTTATTAAAACTCATTTTAAATTTTATTTATTTCTACTGAACTCTTTATGCTGCCAACTATAAATTATTCTATAATGATCAGTTCTGCCATACAAAGTACCTAGCACTGCTTTGTAATATATATATATGATATATACACACACACACATATATATAAAACATATATATATATATATAGCTCATAATCAAACTCAAGATTTAAATTCATGATTAAAGTCAAGATTCTCCTTGACTTTAATCATGAATTCTCCTTACCCCAGTGGTAGGCTGCTTTTTCATTGCTATAAAGGAATACCTGAGATCGGGCAATTTATAAAGAAAAGAGGTTTAATTGGCTCACAGTTCTTCAGGCTGTGCAGGAAGCATGGCGCCGACATTTGCTCAGCTTCTGGTGAGGCCTCAGGAAGTTTCCAATCATGGTGGAAGGCAAAGAGGGAACAGGCACATTACATGGCAAGAGGAAAAGCAAGAGAGAGAGGAGGGAGGTACCATATAATTTTAAACAACCAGATCTTATGTGAACTAACAGAGAGAGAACTCAATAATCACCAAGGAGATGGTTCTAAGCCATTCATAAGGGATCCATCCTCATGATCTAACACGTACCATTAGGCCCTACCTCCAACATTGGATATTACATTTCAACATTAGATTTGGAGGGGACAAACATCCAAACCATATCAAATTCCAAACTAGTTATTTTTAACACTCTTTCATTTCTGTTAGTAGAATATTAACAGAAATATAATTAATAGCCATCATACTACCTAAATCGCCTCCATAACTTCAGTTTTTTTCTTCTGACCCTTTTACTCACTGCCTTCAAACTGGTCATATGCCAGTATTATTTTTATCATTGAATTTTTACTTTTGGACCTACCCTGTCTACTCTGGAGTTGTCCCAGCCTTACTCCCTAAGTCAAACTTATTTTCCAGCATTCAATTCCTTTAAAGTCTGCTTCTCCATTGAAGAACTAGTAAGTTAATTTATATAAATATGAAAATAGGTTAATGTGCTTTCTTATAGATATAATATGAAACTGGTTAATAGACTTTTTCTGGAAATTATTTAATTGAAATTAGAATGATAGTATTTTTAGTCCTAAGTCTAAACTTTGATGAAAAACTTTATTAAAATATTGTTTAGTTAAGATCTTTTGATATAAGATGGGTATATTTCAAATATACTTATGAAATTCATGCATTTTATCTCTTATAAACTGCAATAAGAACTAATACAATAATAGCATAGTTAAACATAATCATTACATTTGACTGAACAAGAATAACAAAGGCCTCATACAGAATACTCAACATATATACTCCCCATTTATAGGTTTCAATATTTAGCACCTTTCGGAGTTACCAATATCTATTATTCTATTTCATATGTTCATGTGTACCCATTGTTTAGCTTCAACTTATAAGTGAGAACATGTAGTTTTTTACTTTCTGAGTCATTTTATTTAGGATAACAGCCTCCAGCTGCATTCACATTGCTGCAAAGTGCAATGATTTCATTATTTATTTATTTTATTATACTTTAAGTTCTAGGGTACATGTGCACCATGTGCAGGTTTGATACATAGGTATACACATGCCATGTTGTTTTGCT